GAAATGGAGTGAAATGAAATCACTCTCTATTAATAAGACTTTTGAGGGAATTGAGTATGCTGAATTGAAAAATCATAGCCATACTAATTAAAAGGTTAAGGGGAGACGGTGATCCTTACTAGCATGTCACCTTCAGTATGTTATGCCAATAAGAAGATGCACAGACCTAAAAGATGTCGTTATTCTATTATATTCCAAGGAATATGATTTCAAAGGTACTGTGTTAGAATTAACAAGATTAAGTCATTCTGTACATATCTCAATGTCAAATAAACTTAAGAACCCAACCATTTCATGTCTACCATTTTAAAATACCCTCAATCATATGATCACATCTTGCAATAGAACAAAACAGTCAACACAGTTTGACTTGAAAGAAGATGTTACAACTAAAGCAATGGCATTGTTGCCAACACCCTGAGTACCAAAAATCTCATGACACTGCAATGATTTATAGTGCTCGAAAACTGTCTGCTTTATCAACTCTAGCAGTACCTGAGCTTGATGATTCACCTATTGCACCAGGAGAAGCTCCTGCTGGAGATGAGTCTCTCTTCAGAGAAGTTGGCAACCCTGAAATTTCCTGGAAAAAGGGAAAAAGAATAGGGAATAGTTTTTGTCATTTAACTGGCTTAAAACTATGTCAGCAATTAAACAGTCATCACACCAGAAAAGATAGATTTGTTTATTTGATTAAGTTAACAGAACATTCCAAATTACCTTCATTAAGTGTAACCTCATGTCACAAGGGTGAACTTGATTTCCAATGCATGCCATTACAAACTTTGAATATTGAAAGAGTAGATCAGCAGCAGCTTGCTTTTTCTCTTCAATCTGAAGTTTTTATTATACTTCATATGAGTAGAGTGAGTGAAAAAAGCAACACCAAACTAGTTTCTCAAACAATTCTAAAAGTATAAGTACCTAGACCATCTGTCATAAATCACCACTCAAAGGAAAAGGTGTTAAAGAGACATAAAATTAAAACCTGAGAAACAATCACATCTTAGATCTCAACCTTGAAATGGAGAAAAGAATTGGAATTACCACATATAGCATTATTTATTAAAAAAAAGGGGGTGAATTTTAGTTAGACAACATTACCATGAACTCAATCTATAACTCAAGATGTGATTTTAGTTACCATGAATTTTAGTCTATAACCCAACATTGCCATGAATTTTAGTCTATAACCCAACATTGCCATGAATTTTAGTTAAACCACACACATCCTCCATGCAACTCGACTCTATGTCCCTTGTTTTTCAAAATGCAAGTCTATAACTCAAGATGACACATCATAGCACTCAACAGAACAAACTAACATATTTTGAAACTAGATGATGTGGAAGCTAATCCCCCATCAGAAAAATGATAACTTTGCCACTCAAAATGAAGATATGGGAAGTCATATATCAAAAAAAGTTTATAGAAACTATTCCAACAAACATTTTCTTTTCCTTTTTGATGAAATTCCCAATAAACATTTTCCATTGATCATTACTACTACCTTGAAATCTCAAATTTGACATTCTGTGCGCCTAAATATCAGTATATCACACATATAATCACAAAAAAAACACAAGAAAACACTCAGCATCATTTTCCTTTCCTTGAGCCATTGCTGACAGCAAAAAGAAAGCATTTTTATTTCCTTGCATTAAATTGTAATTTCAGAGGAAGACAGTAAATACCATTGCATAATTCATGTGAACTCTATACAATCATCAGTGTCTCGTATGCCATAATATCAAAGTTACCCCAAAAAAAAAAACCCTTAATCTACAAAAAGTTTAGGGGAAAAGTTGGGTTAGATAGCCAATCACCACCAATACCAAAGCTCAGAATCGCATAGGCTACCATCAGAAGAAATTTAAAAAAAAAGGGTTTTCCTTAAAAACGAGTAATCTAAAAACCCGATCAAGAAATTTCCAAAAACCTAGAATTTGGCACCCATCAGAAGGAATTTCAGAATACAAAGAAAATCTTCTTCAAATTTCCTGAAAAAGAAAACAACTGAACAGTGGTTAGAAAAAATACCTCGAAGTCTTCTTTCATTGCACAAACTAATCTACCGAGGAGCATTTCAAGATTTGATTTTTGGGTTCTGCTCGTCCACCGACTCAATCGTACGGTACTTGTTCATGAC